TACATTTTTTCTAGTGATGTAAATGCAGAATGTCAGATAATAAGATAGTTGATAAGTGAGGACATCAGTCCTACTGAGATGTGTTAAGGGTAAGTACACAGAATATACCAATTTGATAATTGCAAAGAAAGTTTAGAGAAATTTCTTTTATCTCTCTTAAAGCCATGAAGAGACATGTGCAGCCTTATAAAGCACAGCCTGTCTGTTACTGTTTGGCGTTTATTTGCTGAAGTAGATTACCAGCAACAGTTGGAGGAAAAGACTGATAAAATGCGTTGTTGGAATTTTTCTGGACTCCAATTCTGGAAAAGTAGATTGACATTGACATTCTTAGAATTAATTACATTTGTACTGATAGTGAAATAACAGCTACCTTTGAGTTTATCGTTATTTATTATCTAGCAATGGCAAGCATAATTTATTAAGGTTTGTATTGCCGAAGTCTCAATTTTCCCTAGCTGTATCTAATTTTCAGGTACAAATAGCTTGAAACAGTTTCTTCCATTATATGTTGGTACCCAGCTACAACTTTGTATTTTCACTCAGCTCTTTCCAACATCCTGTTTGGTATGGTGTAGTAATGCATGAGGAGTTACCTTGATTTGTCTTTAGATGATATCAGTGTCTTGAAAGTCAGAAGGTTCAGGGGTCATAGTTATAACAGATCTTTTGTTAGGTAAAGGGCTGTTGTTCTTGTTATGTGTCGTCAAGTCATCTTCGACTCATAGCAACCCCTCCTTGGGTTTCTGGGTGGTATCTCTACAGAAGTAGATTGCCCAACCTTTCTTCTGAGGAGTGGCTGGTGGGTTTTAACTGCCAGCCTTCTGGTTAGCAGTCAAGTGGCTTAGGTGCTGCAGTCCAGTAAATTACTTAGTGTGGCTTTTCTACCCATAAGTCTTTGTAAACTCCCAGGTGGGATTTTCTATGAGCAACTGAGGAGCTCCTGATTGCTGAAGGTGTCCACCTGGAGTATTTCTGTTGGGAGTGGCACAAAACAATGTTCTGGGAGGTGCCCACTCTCTCTCAGGTGCTTAGAGTTCTGATGCTATGATTGGCTAGTTTGACCACCCTGCCGGGCTCAAAAGGAGCCCTCCTAGAGGCAGAACTCTCTCTGACTGCTGGTTGAAGAAGACATGCTGCTGAAAGAGACACGCACCCCCGAAAGAGACACGTGTTGCTGGGAAAAGATGCAAGAGACATACATTGCTGAGTGAGAGACACCGAGGGACCAGCACTGCTGGGAAGGAGACTGTGAGAGACTGTTGGCTGAGGGATGGTGGGCTGGGAGAGAGACTGAGCGTTCTTCCTGAACTTGAGCTGTAGCCTGGTGCTTCCCTAATAAGCCCCGTAATCTGTGAGTTCTGTGTGGCCACTGCAGCGAATTATCGAACCCAGAGGAGAGGTGGTGGGTGCTTTGGGAGGAACAGTTGGTGAGAGGGCTGGAGGGAGGCAGCATGTCTGGCCTTGCAATAATAGGCCTTGAGTTACTGCTGGTAATCCTGTCTTCCTCTTGTGGGATTAGAGGAGGTCAGAACATGTGGCCTCCTTGCCGTTTTTGCAGGTGCTATGCTACCAGAGCTCCCCACGTGCCTTAGATACAACTAAGAATGATCCAGTATTATCATCATTTTCATCATCATCATGATTAATGTGAAAGACTGAATTTAATTGTGATAGGTAACATTTCAGCAGCAAAGATATGAATAAAACCCTGCTTTCTTTGACTGGGGTTCATTGCTCAAGTAACTCCATCTTGAGCTATTGTTTTGGAGCTTTGGAAGTCTTCACCCACCCATTCAGAGTAGTTTCAGTGGATCGAGTATTGAATGATTCTCTCTAGCCTGTGCTTTTCTTTGTCTCATAGATAAAGTGACTGCATGAATAGGAATGCCTGTCCAAATATCAGGATTGGAGATTATGGACGAAGATCGGTTAATTGAAGAAGTCTTGGATAAGTTTGTTAATTGTCATGAGCAAACATACGAAGAATTTCTGAGCACTTTTATTCATCTTTCAAAAGGTAAAATATAAGAGTAAACTTTCTATAGTATAGAGATAAAATAATTTTATTATACTTTTATGTTTTTGCCGCCTTTTCAGAGAGAACCTTAGAGTATTTATTGAACATCCCATTTCTTTGGTCAGGCAATTCTTATTAGGGCATTCATGACTGATGTATGTAAATACCAGTATTCATTTTATAATCAAGAATTGTATTATGGAGTGAGAGCCATTGACTGTGAGAACTAGGAAGGACCTGAAAAATCATATAGTTTAATCTTTTCATTTTAGTTTTAGAGAAACCCAAATGCAAAAGGTTGTTAAAAGCACATTTAAAACTTCTAAGAAATACTGCATGGTAGTGAGGGCTGTGGAGTGGCCCTGCACATTTTTGTTTGCTGAGATTGGCACTAATTTGCTGTGCTACCTTGGGGAAGTTATTTAAAGTTTTTGTGCCTCTGAGTATAGTGGGGGATAGTGATAGTACCTCCCAAAGTTGATGAGGGTTAATTGAGATAATCCATGTAGATTTGCCATAATGGCTAATACGTAACAAGAACTTAACACTAGGTATTATTATTACGGTTATTTACCATCATCGTTGTTATGATTCCATTGTGATTTCTATAGAATATAAGCAACCTTTTGGCCAGAGGCAATGATTTGGTCGAAAGGTCAGATCCATGTTTGTGTTTCAATTGTGTGTTTTGTTTGGCTCACACAGTGTTGTTCTTTTAATTGAGGCAGCATTTAAAAGTTGAAAATTTTTACATAAAAGTCTTGGTTTTTGGTTTCTCTCTCTTTTTTTTTTTTATTGTGCTTTGCTTTATTGTGTTTCACAGATATTACATTTTCTTTTAATTTTATTTATTTTATTTTATTTTGATTTGGGTGAAGATTTACAGAGCAAATTCACTTTCCATACAGCAGTTCACATATACATTGTTGCATGTCATTGACCACAGTTTACCACAATGCAGCAGCTCCCCTCCTACTGCCTCCCCATAGTTACCTCTTCCCAGTGTCCATCCCTCCATACTCTCCTGCCACCTGAGCT